TTGATTTTCTGGCAGTTCTGGGTGTTTTTTCTTTTGAGGTTAGTTGCGATTCTTTTTCTGGTTGCGAAAGCATGTCTACCTATGCCTACATCTTGACCGGAAGTTCTTTTCCATACTTTCGTATTGAACCACTTACTCAGAATTAAATCCAGAGCAGCAGTTTCCCTTGTTGCTTTGTCAAAAGACTTCCCATAAAAAGAAACTGTCAGCAAGGCAGGTGAGGAGTTTGTCGGCCTCCCTGTATTTAGCAGAACAAGCCTTCCAGTGGTTGCCCCTCACAATGTTCCTTCACTTGGGTGCCCACTTTGTAATCTGTGTTGGGTCTTTCTCCTGCACGACTGCTTTCCACCGACTGGCTTAACACAACCAGAAACCAGAAGTTCCAGATCAAGGTGTTGGCACAATTGGTTCCTTTTTAGAAGCTCAGAGGGAGAATCTGTTCTGTGTGTCTTCCTCAGCTTCTGCTGGGTGACAGCAGTCTTCGGCGTTCCTTGGCTTGCAGCTGTAGAATTCGTCACGTGGCGATCTTCCCTCTGTGTGTCTTCGCATGGCCTTCTCCTCTCTGTGGGCGTCTCTCTCTGCATCTCTCCCTCAGCTCAGAAGGACACCAGTCACAGTGGATTAAGGACTCAGTGCATTTCAGTATGACCTCATGTTAACCTACATTTTAACTACATCTGTAAACCAGTACAAGGAGTTAGGACTTCAGCATAGCTATTGGGGGGGGGCACAATTCAACGCACAACAAAACTACTTTTATTCTTACCCATGCAGTTTGTTTACATATATGGTTCCCACGATTGCCAATAGAACTGACCTTGTTATAGCTTTCCATGTGTATTTCCCCACGTAATTGAAACTGATACATACTAGTATATATATTTCATTCATAAGTCTTAATTTACCATTTTTTTAGTAAACCAGTGAGACTGTGTTGGTTGTTATATTAAACTATCAATGATCTAGGACATATCTATTAATATGACAGACATTTGAAGCCATAACAACTGTTTATGTAATATGGACTTTGGCTTGTAATTTTGCTTTTTTTTATTGCTTTTCTATGATTTTGGTGTCAAGGCTATGTTAGTGTTATTAAAATGAAGGTTGGGAGGAAAGTATTGTATATTCAATGTTAATGTGTTTTTTAAACATTTGTTTTAAAATTTAGAAAACCATCTGGGTCTGGTGTCCCTTCCTCCCTCCCCCTTTCCCGCCCTCCCTCCTCCCCTCCCTTCTCTTTTTCTCTTCCTTCCTCCCTCCCTCCTTCCCTTCCAGTCTTGTTATTTAAGAATAAGTCACAGAATGGCTAGTGTTTAAAAGACGACAAAGAATGTGTCGGCAAGGATGTGGAAAAGAAGGAACCCTCATGCACTGTTGGTGGAGTTGTAAATGGGTGTGGCCCCTATGCAAAACAGCATGGAGGGTCCTCAAAAATTAAAATTGTACACCTGAAACTAATATAATATTGTACATCAACTGTAATTTAAACAGAAAAAAAGAAAAAATTAAAAATTAAAAATAGAACTATCATACACCCAGCAATCCCACTTCTGGGTATTTATCTAAAGAAAATACTGCCCTGGCTGGTGTGGCTCAGTGGACTGAGCACAGGCCTGTGAGCCAGAAGGTCGCCGGTTCGATTGCCAGCCAGGGCACATGCCTGGGCTGCAGACCAGGTCCTCATCTGGGGGCGTGTGAGAGGCAACCGATCAATGTACTGATGTCTCTCGCACATCAGTATTTCTCTCCCTTTCTTTCTTTCTCCCTCCCTTCCCGTCTCTCCAAAAATAAATATATAAATGAAACCTTAAAGAAATTGAAAGTACTAATATGAAAACCAGTGTTCATTGTAGCATTATGTACAATAGCCACGATGTGGAAGAAACCTAAGTGTTCCATCAATAGATGAATGGATAAAGAATAGATGCTATATATACACAATGGAATATTATTATACTTGGCCATAAAAAAATGAGTGAAATCTTGCCATTTGCAACAACATGGGTGGACTTAGAGGGTATTATGCTAAATGAAATAAGTCAGACAAATATTATATGATTTTGCATATGTGGAACCTAAAAAGCAAAACAGACACAACAAAACAGAAACAAACTCATAGGTACAGAGAACAAATCGATGGTTGCCAGACGGTGGCAGGGGAGTGGTAGGATTAAGAAGTACAAACTACCAGTGATTAGAGTTAGTCACAGGGATAGAAAGTACTGCATAGGGAATGTAGTCAGTTGTATAGTTTTAACTATGTATGGCCCCAAGATTTGAGTGCAACTAGGTGTGTTCTTAACATTGGGGAGTGGAGATGGTCACTGCTCAGAGGCCCTCTCAGTAGACAGATCTACAGAGCTAGAGATCATGTATGTGTTTATATTTTAAAAATTCATTAGTTCACCCATACCTGCCATTTCAATCCACAGGGTTCATTCCAGCCTTCTTCCTTTCTGTATTTGCACCTTCCCGCTTTTGCAGACAGAACTCTGGGTGCTGTGGTCTTTAGTGGATTTTCTTATTTGATGAATCCTGTACATGTGAAGTCTGTTGCTGCCTCCGAACCCTGCCTGGTAGAGCTGCCCCCCTCACCCTGCTTGGGCTCTCACTCCCTCTGCCAGTCGTCCCGCCACATGGATGCCCTGCTCACCCCTGCGGTTCTCACATCCCCTGCAAGCCTGCCCTTGTGTGGACGGGGTGGGCTCCCCACCCTCTGACCCTGATACCACCAGGCTGCCCTCTGTGTGGACACAGCTGTGCTCTGCCCCACCTGGTGGCTATAGGGCCAGATTCTTCAGAAGGAGAGAGGGCTTCTCTGGAACTTTAAGTTTCACTTTAAGGTTTCTAGCTGTGGAATTATCTTTTCTTAAAAAAATTACATTCGTTGAGTCCTTTTAGTTCAAAGTCTTGTATTTTCTCTAATTCTGGGAAGTTTACAGAAATTTATGTCTGGAAATACTCATCAGCTTCACGTATTTTTTCTCTCCTTCTATAAATACACTATTGTGTGGGTGCGGACTTCCTTCATTTCTCTGTTCCTTATGTCTTGATTTTTCTGTTCTGTGTTTTATTTCTTCCCGCTGTCTTTTGGCAGAATGCCTTAAACCTGGCATTTTAGCTTATTAATCTGTTCAACTGTGTCCTTTCTTCTTCAGTCCATTCATCTATTAAGTTTGTTTCAGCGATTATGTTTTATGTACCTGTATTTTATTTGCTTCATTATAATGTTTCTTCCTGCTTTATTTCTAATGTCCTTCCTTATTGAATTTATTTATTTTATTTTATTTTTTGGCTTATAATCCCAATCAATTTGATACTTGATTCCCCCCGCAAACCATTTATCCCCCCTACACCCTCTTCCACCTCCCCCGCAGACAACAATCACCACACCATTGTCCATTCCATGAGTTCGTTCTTTTTTTTTTTTTTTTTGCTTGATCCTCCCCAGCTGTCCCCCAGAGCTCTCAGCCTGAATTTGTTTAAATTTTTATTTTCTGTTTCTTCTGAGAGCTCCTATATGCTGGAGATCTCAGCCACCGTGGCTCATGAGGTCCATGGAGCGGGGTGGACAAGGCTGCCGCCCGGTTGGCGCCTGCCTGTGCCTGTCGTGGGTTAGAGGGGAAGGCTGGTGGTGGTGGGAGGAGAGGACGTGCCCAGGGTCGTTAGCGTGGAACCCCTCCCCAGACTCAGCACTTCTCATGACCTGGTTTTCCTCTTAAAAACCCTAGATCACAGGATTTGGGAAGAGGTGGCGGGAAGAGGGAACTTTGGGCCTGCTGTGAGCACCAAGTGCCGTCTGGGCCAGTGCCACCCGTACGTAGGTTTGTCACCCAGTGGCCCTTGACAGCTCCGGGCTTGCTGACAGTTCCCCTGTGTTGCAACAGCAGTGGCCTGTACCGGACAGTGCTGGAGAGAAAAATATTTACCAGAGCAACTGCACCACACCCTGACTCCCATCCCCGGTGCCTGGCCCTGGCTACTCTGCCTCTCTGTTCCCCTGCACTGGGGCCACATGCTCCGGTGTCGTCCCAGGGACTCCCATGCGCGTGTGAACATGAATGAGTGTTTCATTGTCGGTGAGCATGGGCTCACCACATGTGCTGTCCAGCAACTTGTTGTTTTTAAAATGGCTGACTCTCGTGTCTGACTGCACACGAAAAGAGTGTGGATTCAGTAAAATGCAGTTTTAAAATATACCTCTGTGTGTGGCTGTGATTTTTATACCCGTTTTATACCGAGGCATCCCCATATCACTGCCTTACCGTCTAACTATAATCGTGAGTTAGCGATATGGTCGAGAGCAGTCATTAGTGTCCCGTGGAGTACTTAACCATTTCCCTTCGTGGTTCTTTTAGGTTGTTATCAGTTTTTAGATATTATGATACTGAAATAAAATCTTTATGGATAACGTGTTTTCCTTCTGTAGGATTATTTTCCTTGATGGATTTATAGAATGGGTCAAATAGATAAGCAGGTTGGAAAGATCAACGTTTTTCATTCCTAACCAAGTAAAGCAGGGCTGGAATATCATAGTCATTTAAGTAATGTTTATTGGATTAAAGAAGATTCTAAAAGTTGCTTTCCAATATGGATGTAGCAGTTTTCAGTCCCATCAACAATATGAGATTTCTGTTCTCCCACACCATCTTACACTTAAAATTTTTTTATTATTATTTTATTTATTTTGATAGAGAGGGGAAGGGAAGGAGAAAGAGAGGGAAACATCAGTGTGTGGTTGCTTCTTGCACGCCCCCTGCTGGGGACCTGGCCCACAACCCAGGCATGTGCCCTGACTGGGAATCGACCCTTTGGTTTGCAGGCCAGCACTCCGTCCACTGAGCCACACCAGCCAGGGCACACTTAAACTGATGATTTGTTTGTAATCAGAAGAATTCTCTATCTTGAAAAAAAAATGCTATCAAGATGATATAACTAAGGTCTGTTTCTCTTTTTGTTTTCACCCACTTGGTAAATGGACACGTGTTTTCTTACAGGACTGAATTTGCTCTTAAAGAAATCATGTCCTCTGGAGGTGCTGAAGATGACATCCCGCAAGGAGAGAGGAAAACAGTTACAGATTTTTGTTACCTTCTGGATAAGTCTAAACAACTGTTCAATGGGTTAAGGTTAGTGGACTCTTGCTGTCTAAACTGTTCTCTAGTTCTGTGTGTTTTTTCTCATGTCTGATATGTAGTAACTTTCTGAATGTTATGGATGGAATGTTACATAAATTTCTTCATTCTCAGATGAAAAACAGTAGGAAAAGAGGATTGTTTTTATTCAAGTAAAGGAGAGCTCTTTTGTGTGGTGGTTTTATATACATTAGCCCACATAATATCCTAGTTACACCTGGTTTTACACCTGAGGGACTGAGGACGAAGGCGCCTGCCCACGCATCATGCAGGCAAATGTGGTCCTCTCTCCTCTTGCGGTCTTCGCACTTCTTTGCTTGTTTCTTCTTTCCTTTCGTTTCCTTAGGATACACTATCTGTTGACTGAAGTAATGACAGAGTGTTCTAGACAGTGTTATTTTTACGTTAGCTGCGCATGCCCTGAACGGACTGGCAGCAGAAACTATATGCGCTTTTGTCCAAACGTGTCTTTGATTATGTGTCCTTGTGCGTGGTTGGTCCTCGTGCGTGGTGGGTAAACAATTTTGTACTGTTGTGTTCTATTTAAGTGAGTTAGTCCATATTACAGTTCTTAAGATTCTTAGCGTACTGACTTGTCTCAGACCCATAGCTTCATTCATTCGTGATATAGGTGAAATAGGTTTCATTTTTGAAATTTTTTATATGAGTCAATGATTGTAAAGATAGTTATTTTAATTTACAGTTCATTCCTGGGTAAAAATGCAAACTTTTTCTATGTTTTATAATTGAATTACACATCCCTGTGTTGGGAACTGTACTGGCAGAGTTTATTTTTAAAGTTAATATCTTTTTAAAAGTGTTTACAATCATAAAGATAATAACAAGGTCACTGCAATCTAATTTTAGAACATTTAATCACCCCCAAAGAAACGCCATACCCATTAGCAGTGACTCTTCATTCTCCCCGACCCCCCAAACCCCTAATCTGCTTTCTCTGTCTATGGATTTACATATTTTGAACATTTCATATAAGTAGAATCATGCAGTATGTGGTCCTTTGTGATTGGCTTCTTTCACTAAATATAGTATTTTTGAGGTTCATCTGTGTAGTAACCGGGTATCAGTACGTCATTCCTTTTATTACAGATTAATATTCCATTGTATAGACTTACCACATTTTGTTTATCCGGTCATCATTTGATGGGCATTTGAGTTATTTTGCTCTTTTTGGCTGTTAGGAATAATATTGCTATGAACACTTGTGTACAAGGTTTTGCATGGACAGATGTTTGCATTTCTCTTGGGTAGCACCTCGGAGTAAACTTGCTGGGTGATAGGATCCTCTGCGTCTGACATTTGGAGGAACTTCCAGACTGTGTTTCAAAGAGGCTACTATGTTACCAGCAGTGTGTGGGGGTTCCACTTGCTCCACACCCTCACCAGCCCCTGTTGCTGTCTGTCTGTCTGGTGATAACTGTCCGAGTGGGTGTGAAGTGGTGTCTCACCGTGGTTTGGATGTGCATTTCCCTAATGAGTGATGGTGTTGAGTATCTTTTCCTGTGCTTATTGGCCATTTCTATGTCTTTTTTGTAGAAATGTCTATTCTAATTCTTTGGCCGTTTTTGAAATTGAGTTATTTATTTTTTTATTTTTAAGTCGTAGTTCTCTCTGTATTCTGGATACAGGTCCCTTGTAAGATGTAATCATTTGCAAATACATATTTTTTCATTCCTTGGGTATCTGTTCATTTTTTTAAAAGATTTATTTATTTATTTTTAGAGAGGGAAAGGAGGGAGAAAGAGAGAGAGAAACATCAATGTGCGATTGCTGGGGGCCGTGGCCTGCAATCCAGGCATGTGCCCTGACTGGGAATCGAACCTGCGACACTTTGGTTTGCAGCCCACGCTCAATCCACTGAGCTACACCAGGCAGGGTGGGTGTCTGTTCATTTCTTGATGGTGTCCTTAAAACACAAAAACTTTTAATTTTAATAACATTCAACTTGTCATTCTTTGCTTTCATCATTTGTACTTTTGGTGTCATATCTAAAAAAATTACTGCCTAACCTGAGGTCACCAAGATTTACTCCTATGTTTTTTTCCAAGAGTTTTATGATTTTACCTCTGACATTTAAGTTTGTGAACCATTTTGAGTTAATTTTTTCAGTTTGGTATGAGATCTTAGGCGTTTTTTATCAAAAAAAAATTTCAATTTGTTATTGTATTTCTTTCATTTTTATCTCCTTCCTTGTTAACACTTGTAGTGCTAAGACTGAATATGGCCCTGGTTGGTATAGCTCAGTGGATTGAGTGCAGGCTGCGAATCAAAGGGTCGCTGATTCAATTCCCAGTCAGGGCACATGCCTGGGTTGCAGGCCAGGTCCCCAGTGGGGACCACGTGAGAGGCAACCACACATTGATGTTTCTTTCCCTCTCTTTTTCCCTCCCTTCCTCTCTCTCTAAAAATAAATAAATAAAATTTAAAGATATATTTTTAAAAAGAGACTGAATATGTACTCTAAGTCCTCTGTAGTCACCTGCTCTGGTTTGATTTTCATCTCCGTTCTTTTTCTCAGCATTTTCGAAAATGAATCAAAGTTGTCCACCGTGTGCCAATGTGTTTCATCTTGCCATTTCATAGCAATGTTTTTTGCAATACTGCTTTTTTAAAACTAGGTATAAGTATTTGACCTAAAGTTGACTAGTTTCTCTATATATTCTAAGACATTCACTAGAAATCTTAATGTGTTTATTAGTGGAAATGAAGTTTTCATTATGTCTGAGAAGCATATTTAATTTAGCAGTGGCATTTTTCTTCTTAAAAAGGAATTATTTTTCTAATTTGATTCTGAATCATAAATGAATCGTAAAGCTAAAGTCATCTGCTAGAGCTTCCCTACTGGACTAAGGTCAGTCTGAAACTACTGTAACTATAACAGAACGCATTTCCACGTAGCGTTCTACAGCTTGTAAATCACTTTCAGACACTTCTTTATACTTTGGCCATATGATGACAGTATAGAGTACCAAAAACACCTGTTATCTAAAAATGTATTGTTTGCCCTGGCTGGTGTGTGTGGCTCAGTGGATTGAGGGCCAGCCTGCAAACCAAATGATCACTAGTTCAATTCCCAGTCAGGGCACATGCCTAGGTTGCAGGTATCTGCAGGTATCTGCAGGGCACATGCCTAGGTTGCAATGCCCCCTAATGGGGGCATTGAAGAGACAACCACACACTGATGTTTCTCTCTCCCTCTTTCTCCCTCCCTTCCCCTCTCTCTAAAAATAAATAAAGAAAATCTTTTAAAATAAATAAATAAATAAATAAATAAAATGAATTGTTTTATTTCATGTTCTTGAAATGTCGTTTGAGTTGTGTTCTCATTTTGATCTTTTTTAATAAAGTGCCATTTTAACTATCACACATTTTATTTTTAAAGCAATTGTAGAATAAAATTGTATCTGTAGGAATAGTAAGAAACTAATACAGAGGGAAGTTGTGCGAGATCTAATCTTTTTCTATTTTCTCAGAATTGCTTTTTAAAAAACAATTTCTATGAATCTTTTTAAGTATATTTGATTGATTGTGCTATTACAGTTGTCCCAATTTTTTCTCCCCTTTAGCTTCCCTCTGCCCTGCACCCCCCAGCCCTCCCGCGTTCCCTTTTCTCTTCCCCTTCCCCTTAGTTCACGTCCATGGGTTGTGCATATAAGTTCTTTGGCTTCTACATTTCCTGTACCATTCTTAACCTCCCCCTGTCTATTTTAGGCCTACCAATTATGCTTCTTATTCCCAGTACCTTTTCTCCCCCAGCCTGTTCTCCCCCGTCCTCCCCACTGATAACCCTCCATGTGATCTCCATTTCTGTGATTCTGTTCCTCTTCTGGTTGTTTGCTTAGTTTTTGGTTTTGTTTTTTAGGTTCAGTTGTAAATAGTTATGAGTTTGTTGTCATTTTATTGTTCATAGTCTTTGATCTCCTTCTATTTCTTAGATAAGTCCCTTTAGCATTTCATAAAATAAGGGCTTGGTGATGATGAACTCCTTTAACTTGACCTTATCTGAGAAGCACTTTATCTGCCCTTCCATTCTAAATGACAGCTTTGCTGGATAGAGCAATCTTGGATGTAGGTCCTTGCTTTTCATGACTTCAAATACTTCTCTCCAGCCCCTTCTTGCCTGTTAGGTTTCTTTTGAGAAATCAGCTGATAGTCTTGTGGGAACTCCTTTATAGGTAACTCTCTCCTTTTCTCTTGGTGCTTTTAAGATTCTCTGCTTATCTTTAATCTTGGGTAACATAATTATGATGTGTCTTGGTGTGTGCTTCCTTGGGTCCAACTTCTTTGGGACTCTTTGAGCTCCTTGAACTTCCTGGAAGTCTATTTACTTTGCCAAATTGGGGAATTCCTCCTTCATTACTTTTTCAAATAAGGTTTCAATTTCTTGGTCTTCCTCGTTTCCTTCTGGCACCCCTATGATTCAAATGTTGGAATGTTTAAAGTTGTCCCAGAGGTTCCTAAGCCTCTCCTCATTTTTTTTGAATTCTTGTTTCTTCATTCCATTCTGGTTGAATGTTTGTTTCTTCCTTCTGTTCCAAATCATTGATTTGAGTCCCTGTTTCCTTCCCTTCACTGTTGGTTCCCTGTATATTTTTCTTTATTTCACTTTGCATGTACTACAAAGGGCCTGCCGTCTAGAAGATAATTTTGGTTTTAGGGGAGGGGGGGTCCCCCCTCATGTAACAGAACTATTAAAAAAGATTTTGGTAAGATATGAATGAAAAGTTGCTGATGATATGTGGTTAAATGAAAAAAGCAAAATGTAAAAACAAGATGTTTTAAATAAAAAATTCTGTCTTAAATCTATCTTTTTAAGTGGGAACTGTTGGCTCTCAGTGCCCAGTTCAGTCTCTTTCTCCTGGGGGACTGATGTTCTCACAGTGTCCAGTGCGTGTGAATTGTGTGTTTTCTGTGCTTGTTTGCATAAATGAGAGTGTTTGGTTCAGTATTAGTCCTTGATGGGAAAGGCCTCTGTC